GTAGATCACTCCTCCCCACATGTATTTACTTAATCCTTGAAGAAAAAAACTCCAACGCTTTTACTGCCTTTCCTGGAGTTCCATTCATTAACCATGCATTTCACAAAGTAATGCTTTCTCTGCTAGCAGTTCTATGGTTGCACTTGTCATGAAGGTAGGGTCGAGCAGGATGGATCCTGAGGGAGAAGCCCACCCTAAGTGAGGTTTTTCATCCAGGGACCAGAATTTTGGGGTGCACAAGGCAAGAATCATTTCGAAATGCCATAGTTCCAAGGGAAGGGTCATGGCTCAAGTGTTAGACTACCTGCTTAGAATGCAGAAAGCCCCTGGTTCAGTCTCTGGCATCTCCAAGGTGGGCAGGCAGAGACCCCTGTCTGAAACCCTGGGGGAGCCACTTCCAATCAGTGTAGACCCTACTGAGCTAGATGGGCCCAGTGACCTTAAGTCAGCATAAGGCTGACGGTCTGTGTTTCCAACTGGGTTGGAAATCCCTGTTTCTCTGCCAGGTCGGTTTGGCTTTAGGGCAGGGGCAGAAGGAGCGCAATGGCTCTTCTGGTTCAATCTCTGCCATCTCCAGTTAAGCAAAGTTTCAGGTAGCAAATGACGAGGAAGACCCTTCCTTCCCGCCGGCCGGTTTAGGCAGTGCCAGCCTAAATGGGTGGATAAAACCCAGCTTCCTGTGTTCACCTGCGAAGAGGGAAAGGGCTGATCAGATCAGGGGGAGATGGGGCATGTAAATTGGCCCAGGCGTCCTTGGGGGCGGGGGCAGAGGGGCTATACTAGGCCACAAGTGGATCCCCAAAGCGTTGCTGATTCACGTGGGCTTCTCTCCCCTCCTGACATGTTCCTGCTGCTGCCTAGCAACCCAGCTGCTGTCTGCATCAAGCCAGGAGACAGACTGCGGCTGGGCCCAATCTGTGTGCCTGGCCCGGATTTCTTTCTTTTGGGGAGGGGGTGGGGAGAGGAGAAAGGGTAGATTTGGAATCTGGGGCTGCTCTCTCTTAAGGCTTTGGAAGGAGACGAAAGCCCTCAGCTCACAGAGAATTACCATGCTGTGGTAAGCTCATCAAGTCCCCGTGATCACACGGTGCTATTAATTAGAATTATTACTCCTATTAGCCACAGGGTTTTTCTTATTATTATGGGTAACACTGCAGGCACAGTCCTCAAGGTCTTGCAATATTCTCACTTGAAGCAGAGACATTTGAATATTGCTGTCGTCATTTATATATAAAATGAATTTTATATATAAATCTTTATTTCTTTATTTTATATATACCAAAAAGCTTCAGTGGCGGGGAACCACCAAGAGAACCCCCAAAACATCTCAGTGGAGGCGGTGCATGTTCAGAGGGCTCTGAATGCTGACTGTTAGGGGAAACAGGAGGGGAGGTGTCATGGAATGGCATTACCAGAGTGGGAGACTCTCTACTGCAACATTTTGTTGCGGCTTCCACTTCTATATGCTAATATTGGGTTCCTCCAGCCGAAATGTATATAGAGCGTTTGTCCGGATTTGCTTGCACAAAGCTTGCATGGAGGTTACATGTTACCAACTATTTACTGAGCATTCATTCTGATTTGTTTGTGGGGAAGAGGTTTGATGACAATGCATCAAGCAGCTATTCAAATGCATTTTCCTCTACTGCATTTTCCTCATCACTTTCCTTCCTGCAAAAGGTCCAGCTTTCCAAGGGGAAACAGGTTTTGTTGCACAGGGCCATTGAATGAGCATTGATTGCTTCATCTAAATTTGCCTGGATGTGACTGAATCCCAAGATCACCGCAGTCTGGAAGTGACCAGACGTGAGAGCTCCCCCTGGAGGCATTTACCAAAGCATTCCGCCGTGCGCAGAATAATTTAAGAGTGGAGCAAAGTCCACAAGCTCCTGCTGAATATATATATATATATATATATATATATATATATATATATATAAAAAATATTATACACACGCATATAATATTATCACATAATCTTAATATAACATCATAATATCACACAATCATAATACACAATCACACTCATAATACGATATCACACAATGATATCATACATAAAATCATCACACAGTCATATCATGTAATATGATCATTAGTGAAGAAAATTAACCCCTTCCTATATCCAGCTACTCCAACTAATGTTGCTGGTGACCAGCATAAAATGGGAGATACTTCCTTTGCCTCTGCCTAAAATTCATTTTGCATTGACCAGCCTGGGTGTGCAGGGTGGGTTGATGAAGGCTATGATATTCAGTGATGCTATTATGATACGATTGTGTATGTGATATTGTGATTGTGTGAAATTGTGATGTTGTGATTGTGTGATCGTATGACATTATGATACTGCAAATGACTGTGTGATATTATGATCGTATGATATGACTGCATTATTTATGTGATTTATAATATTATCATATGAACTTGTAAACAGGGGTGTTTGCAAGGGCATTTAGTGAGGGCGTTTGAGGTTGGAACCCAGAGTGCTCTCTAAAGGTGTACGTAGGATCAAGGTACAGCAATGTTTAAATGCCTCCAGGGAAATAGGCTCCCGTTTGGAACTCTTAGTAACTTCTCTACTTCAAGTGAGAATATTGTAAGACCTAGAGGACTGTGCCTGCAGTCCTACAAATAATAATAATAAAAACCCTGGGTTTCTCAAAAACAAGTCATGCCAGACAAATCTCATTCCTTTTTTTTTTTTAATAGAGTTACAAGCTTGGTGGATCAGGGGAATGCTTTGGATGTAGGTTATCTTGATTTCAGTAAGGCATTTGACAAAGTCCCCCATGATATTCTTGTGGAGAAGCTGGTCAAATGTGGGCTGGATAAGGTAACTCTTATTTGTAACTGGTTGGTTGACTGAACCCGAAGAGTTCCTCATCATCCTGGGGAAAAAGTGACAAGTGGGAATCTGCAGGGGACTGTCTACCCAACCCACACTGTGCCAGTGGCTGTTTGGCTATCTCTTTGCCTTCAGCTGAGTTGGTCTAGTATCCAAATGGTGGTCACAAAGGGCACAAGATAGGAGGTGTTCTGTCCAACAGACACGGCAGTGAGCATGTTTGTGAGGCTGGGAAAGGGCTTCCACATCTCTGACTTGTGTGCATAGAGGAGGGAAGAAAATACCTTTATCCCCAAATCTGTTGACCCCGCCATGAAAATGAGGCTTGAAGCCATGGTTGTCTAACCCCTGCTGGGGTTTTTTTGCTGTCTACTGCCCCTAATGAGCTTTATAGTCAGTTCCACCCCAGTGGCATGGGGCAGAAGTCTCAGATAGTGGCTTAGGAGAATGAGCCCCACCCCCAAACCCCGCAGCATTTCTGGCTTATTACATTTTCAAGCATGTCAAGTAACGCACAATATATCATCAAGCTTTGGGGACCGCTGGGCCAAATTGCAAGCTGGAGAAAGACATGGGCACCATCCCTGCTGCCCCCCATGCCAGCAATTACATGGGGAGGGGGAGTGTTTTGGGGTTTTTCAAGCCAAAGTTGTTGTTTTTTGGTGGGGGGAGATTTGGGGGAGGGTGGCAGCTATAGAAGGGGCAGTTATCTCTCTCCTCCTAAATCCCACCCCCCCACACACACACCAAAAGCCAGCTCTTTACCACTGTAGATAGGTTTGGGGAAAGCCTTCTGTTGGCTACAGCAGGCCTCTGTTATTCTGGGCCATCATGCTGGGTTCAACTATATCACATCCAGCAGTTACGGTATGTTCTGTGCGCTCAGCAGAGCAGCCATGATGGATCAAGATGGGTGACACGGCAGCATGTCTATGTCTCTCTTGTACAAGCTTGTTTGGTCCTTTGTGGCTGTAGCACTTGGGACTTTTTAGTGTAGATAAAAGGGAAGTAAGAGGCAACATGATAGAAGTTCATAAAAACAAAGCATGGCATGGAGAAAGCAGACAGACAGAGAAGAGTTTCCCTCCCTCTTTCATAACACTGGAACTCACAGACATCCAGTGAAGCTGAATATTGGCAGATTCAGGACGGATCAAAGAAAGTCCTCCTTCATGCAGTACAAAGTTAAGCTATGAACTCGTTTCCCCAAGAGACAGTGATGGCCGCTAACCTGGACGGCTTGAAAAGAGAAATAGGCAAATTCATGGAGGATGAGAGGGCTATCAATGGCTACTGGCCATGATGGTTATGCCCTGCCTCCATAGTTGGAGGCAGGAATGTTTTCTAATACCAGCTCCCAGCTCTGCAGAAGGGCAGAGTGCTCTTGTGCTCGGTTCCTGCTTGCCAGCTTTCCTTTGAAGCACCCGGGTGGCCTCTGAGAGGAGGAATGCTGGATGCGGTGGGTCATTGGGCTGATCCAACATCTTACAGTTGTGCACATATTTCCTGCTTCCGATAAGGTTCCAGGAGACCTTGACGTTCCAATCTGAGTTGCAAAAAACAGCCCTGTAGCCTAAACAAAGATCTGTTGTTTTTCTTACTCTCCATTCCACCGACTCTCGGATGAGTAAAAATTGAACCTCACTAGGATCCAGTGATCATTTAGGGCATTGATCAGATTTGGCATGGGATGCAGTGATGTTGATTGCCATCACTGCTGCTATTCTATTCTGTTGCAAGTCGCCTGGAAATCTATGGGATCGAGTGACCAACAAGTCTAATAGTAATGATATCAATAATATTAATATTTCTTACAAGCCTAACTTCAACAAGATTGAAGAGCAGTGAGGACAGCACTCTATGGGTGCCATGGAAGGCTCACATTATCAACCCATGCAATGCATCACCTAGTGAATCCAGAGTAAAAAAATGGCCCAGCTGCATCCATATTATCAGAGGGCCCTGGTCAGTGTCAGCAATGAACCGGTCCAGGCCTCCCTTGCTGCCTCTCTTACACCTGAGGAGCCTCATCTCAGTGGTAGGTGATGATAACGACCACTCCTTACGTGCATTTATGCCAAGAAATGGGGAGATGAGAGAGTGAGAGCAGGTCCTCTTTACACTGCTTTTCTGGAAATAACAGCACATAATGGTTGGGTGCTTCAATGGTAGAGCATCTCCTTTACATGCAGAAAGGCTCAGATTCAATCCCTGGCAGCTCCATGTGTGGCTGGGAGAAAACCCTTGTCTATAAACCTGAAGTGCTGCTGCCAGTCAGGGCAGGCAGTACTGGGCTAGATGGATCAATGACTTGAATGGCTATAAGGCAGCTGCTTATATTCACAGCTAACACAGATTTGCATTGTATTTTGGCAGGCAGTTATTGGGTGACAAATTAACTGCAGCTCTTGCTGTTTTATCCTAATGCTACCAGCCATGGGGAGCAGAGCTCCAGAGACATGTGTGTAGCCTACAAAAGCAGGTTGTTTTGTGAGAATCTGAAGTAGCCTTGCAACATTGGTTTTGCCCTGGACTAAATTTGCTGTGGTGCTAAGAAGTATGAAAAGTGACGCCACAACTAAAAATACACTTTGGGGCTTAATTGCTAGGAGGAAACCCCCGTGTAGTGCAGGGCTTCCGTGCAGATGTTGTCCACTTCTTACTACCAGCTGCAAACTGCAGGTGGAAGCTGAACACATGTGAACATCTGCAAACCAACCAGAGATGCTCTTCCACACCACCAAGATGGAGCAGGCAAGCCCTGCTGGTGTCAACTTTGTATGCAGTTTGAGAGGAGTAGCTACAAAGGAATCTTAAAAATAGTGAGCAGTACGAAAACAGGTCAAACTCAAAATATGGTTATTTCATTTCTGCATGTGATAGTTGCCTACGTGTGGGGTGCTTCATGTGCCTCACAGCTTCTGCAACCAGGCTATCACACCTTGTCGAATTTGTCTGAGAAAGCTGAGAGAGCAATGCGGGTCAGTGGTTAAAGTGCTGCACCTAGGAGACTTAGGTGCAAACCTCCACTTAGCCGTGGAGTTTCAGTGGGGTGTGGAACCCTCTTCGTAATCCGATGTGGGAATGTTGGGAAACAAATAGGACTGGAGAAGTTAGAAGCCCAAATTGACAGTTTTGTGACCCGAGTCTTTTAATTCTTCCTCAATCACATTTCTCCCATCTTCCTCCCCACCCACACTCCCCACCACGTCCCTCAGGATGAGCAGGGAGCTTGCAGCTGCTGAGTTAAAATTAAACTTGTGTAGATGAGCAGCTTGGCCCAACGCCCTCACCTCCCTCTGCGCACCCCTCCCTGCATCTCTCTGGCATCCTCATCTAGCCTCACCCTCCTCCTCACCACCACAGCCTTCACATCCTCTGTGGGCTGAGGATTTCCTCCCCACTCCCCAAAACAACAACAACCCACGACTGATACCTATACCAGGACTCTCGAAATAACGCAAAAGCAACCGCAGGCTAGGCTAAAAGGGATTTTCCTTTTGTGGATCACCACAAAGGAAATGGAAGGCCAGCGTAATTAACTCCAAAGTAGAGAGAGAAACAGTGGTAACCTCCCCAGGGGTGGCACACTCAGAAGTGGCACAGTAGGCATTAGCTGAGGGTGCTCCCCCATTCATTCACAGGAGCCTCCTGGGTTTTCTACAGTGAGGAGGTAGACTCAGTGAGCGAGGAGCACTTCCCCTACCCTGCACCTGAGTATCTATCTCAGGTGTGGGGGAACTTTTCAGCTCTCCAGCAGGTGCCAGGGATGATGGGAGTTGCAGCTTAGCCACATCTGGAGGGCTGGAATTTTCCCCATACCTAATCTATATGGTGCTTGGTGTCCGGCAAAAGAGTGGCATTATTTGTGAGCCTAGGCCCCCTTCCTGGAGATTTCTGAATTCCTTTCCATCCCATAGGAAACCAAGAGGTTGGCTTTCTGGGGCCTCCTTACAGCAGCAGAGCTTAGAGTTTGAATTGTGCTCTGCTGCTCCCTTTGATATACATATCCATGTCTGCTGGAGGGGTAACTCAGCCTGTCACAGCAAAAACAGCAAATGGTCTTGTGGCAGCTTCCAGCATACACAGTTTTGCAGGACTGTAATCACGAAATAGTAAATCTGTGTCATCTTTAAGGTGTGCCACAGTACTCTTTGTTGTTTTATTCACACCTGTGATATCAGGTGAAAATGCTGTTGCAATTCATTTTATTATTTATTTAAAAAATTATGTGCTATCCTTCAGCAAAAATGATCACAGGGTGGTGGGTTTTTTTTAAAAGTGCTACGGAAACATAATAATCTACAGTATATTTTGGAATACTGTTTGTTTGCCTCCTTGCTGTGCATTGGGACACTTGCAATAGTCAAATTTTGCATGATGGCTCCTGAGATCAAGGCGGAGGTTTTTGGCTTAGTTTGGATGCAATTGGATGCCAGCTTGAATCAAAATGGCTAGCTAAACCTCCAAAAGTTGCACTGATCTTAAGCACTGACTGCAAAACTGCACTGGGTTTTTTGGCGGGTGGGGGGCGTTTTTTATAATTCCCAAGCAACGCTGGGTATGAGGCTGGCACTAATACATAATAAACAGAAACATTAAAGTAATCCTCATAAAATTGTATAATTAGCGACATCATAAAAATCCCCACTGCTGTTTTATGCAGCTTCTTCCTCCATGTATCCACATGGCACATTCAGGAATGTGTGTTGGTCCCTGGGCTGGACTGCGAGGCGGCTGTCAAATGCACAGCTATTGCTTCTGATGCGAAATGTACCCTTCATAACAGACTTATTAGAGGCTAGGCTGCACACATGGCAGAGCTGGGGGAAAGATTTAGCCAAACCTCCTTTTCCAAGGTAACAGTGGCAGAATATTTCTTCTGCAAGCAACAGAAAACCTAAAAATGGTTTCTAGGGCCTGGGTGCCTTTAAGAACTGTTGGCTGCTGCAATTCCAGTTCTCCTGCTGATTGGCTAGCAGGTGAGTGGGCAGGGAAGAGGAGGGAGCAGCCATTCAGAAATCTGCTGCATTACGTCCCTTATTTAAAGGAGAAAGAGCAGGGGGTGGCTGAAGGAACAGCCTAGCTCTCCATTGCTACTCTGCTCCCCTCCCATTCACTGTTGGCCTGGCTGCTTTCCCAAAGGTCTGTGTGACATTGCCACACCAGTTTTATCATCCCAGAATACAGACAACAGATTGCTGGGGAATGTTCTGGGGCTGTAGGGCTGCTCTGGGACTGCCCGGGGGAAGGACCACTTTTCCCTAAAATTCTGAGTGGTGGATTAGCACATCCTCCAGAGACACCCACTGTTAGAGGCAGACTGCCTCTCCGCACCAGCAGCTGGGAACCACAGAGTGCTGTTGCACTCAGATTCCTGCTTGTTAGCTTCCCACAGGCATCTCGATGGTTGACCACTGTGAGCACAGGGTGTTAGACTAGGTGCCCACCCCCTTAGTCTGATCCAGAAGGGCTTTTCTTTTCTTACTTTCTCTTCTTAAGACAGGTGGCACCTTAAAGCCTCAGCCCATCACATCGGAAGCCTCTGGCTGGCTAAGCCTGTGAGGTGTCTGTTGCATTATATGAACATTGAGGATTTGCAGTAGTATTTCGCTTTCCCTCTAAGTTGAAACCCAGAAAGTTTTACAGTATCGCTTTCTACTCAAAGCATCTCTCTTGCAGCCATGTGTGTCAGTCTTGGGATATAGCACAGGAAGGTAACAGGCAGAGGCATACTTAGGCTCCCTTGCACCCTTGGTGAGGTGCTATATCAGCCTCCTCCTCCCTTGTGCCCTTGACAAGGAAGGAGCTCTGCCAAGGCACCCAAAGGAGCTTGGGCATCTTGCCTGGCCACCCAGAGCAGTGGAAGAATGGCCTGAGGAGCATGCAGGTGGGAGGGGGGCTCCTAGCCACTATGAGCCACAGTGGAGAGGTATGAATTTTGCACATCTGCCGCAGGCCTGCACCCTTGGTGGGGGCCAACCTAGGCTACCCTTAGGTACATCTCTGGTAACAGACCCTTCTTTGGGGATAAGATTGTGAGCTGAGACAACTCACCTCCTTTCTGTCCTCTTTTTCCAGGTTTCATTCTTTCCACCCTTTGTGATTTGGCCCCTGTTTCCAAGCACCTTAGGAATGTGATGTATTGCCCAACAATCCAGCAGGGAAGGTCAAGCAAACCCCGCCTCCTCCAACAGTATGGAAGCTGGTGGCTCTTTCCCTTGAAGCATGATATGGAAGCAGTAGCTTATGCACAAAAGGAAACTGCTACAGAAGAGGGAAGAAGTTAGCTCTGTGGTAGAGCATCTGTTTTGCATGCAAAAGGTCCCAGGTTCAGTTCCCAGCATCTCCAGGCAGGGAACTGATTCTGCTGACTGGGGCCCTGGGCTTATGCCCCAGATTCCTGATCTGACACCACCAGTTCACCCCACCCCACCTCCACCCACCACCCTTTCCATATTCTAAATGTGGGTCTAGGTTGAGCTGGATCAGGCATAGGCAGACTCGGCCCTCCAGATGTTTTGGGACTACAACTCCCATCATTCCTGACCACTGGTCCTGTTAGCTAGGGATGATGAGAGTTGTAGTCCCAAAACATCTGGAGGTCCGAGTTTGCCTATGCCTGAGCTGGATGGAAGAGGCAGTTGGAATAAAAGCCTTGGAGTTGGTCCTAGCTAATGTCCGAAAATGGTGCCTTTTCAAAGTCTTCATGGCTTAAGAGCACAGCTATTCTATCCAAAACCCAAACAGGTTTATGGCCAAGCACAGCTAACCTAGTGAGATGCAATGTCACCCAGTTTGCAAAGTAGAAACATCAATAAATCACACCTTAAATCAGGGGCTTGCAGAAATTTAGCTTAGATGTTTTGGGGCTTTTTAGTTTAAACAAAAGGCAAGTGAGAGGCAACATGATAGAAATGTGTAAAATTCTGCATGGCGTCGAGAAGGTGGAATAGAGAAAAGCATCTCCATCCCCATCGTTTAGCCCAGACACTGAGGTCCACCTTTGAGGGTTTTCTGGTGGTTCCCTCACCAGGCCCTGTCAAATGTCAAGGTGATAAATAACTGTGTAACCTTTAGAAGACATCTGAAGGCAGCCCTGTATTGGGAAGTTTTTAATGTTTGACATTGTGTGTGTGTGTGTGTGTGTGTGTGTGTTTATTCTGTTGGAAGCTCCCCAGAGTGTTTGGGGCAACCCAATCAGGTGAACAGGGTATAAGGAATCTGTTGTTGTTTTTATTATTATTATTAGAACTTGGGGCTATCCAGTGAAGTAGAATGTTGGAAGTTTGAAGATAGACAAAAGGAAGTCCTTCTTCACTCAGTGCATAGTTAAACTCTGGAACTCTCTCCCACAGGAGGCAGTGATGGCCACCAATTTGGGTGGTTTTTATAAGAGGATGAGATAAATTGATTCTACCTGCGCTCTCAGAGGCAGCAATGCTTCTGAATTCCAGTTATTGCAGAGAATGTTGTTGCACTCAGGTCCTGCTTGTGTGCTTCCCATAGGCCTCTGTGAGCACAGGATGTTGGACTCGATGGCCCATTGGTCTGATCCAGCCATGGGTGTAGCCAGGATTTATTTTAGGGGGGCAAGCTTTATATGCTGGGTGGGCAAAACCAAGTTATCTGCTATGCAATTGTTCTGTTAGTTAAGTATTTATTACTTAATTTAGGAGAGACAGCTGCCCCCCGGCTATGCCCATGGATCCAGCTGGCTCTTCTTACAGTCTTAAAAGTTAATCACGCAGATCTCAGCTTTTGTGGGGCCAGCTCCTGACATTATGGAATGGTGATTTGCTTCTTTCCCACTCACACCTACTAAGCGAGAAGAGGATTGGAGAAGAAATGCAAGCAGGTGGGCTGAAAATGGGTGGTGTTTTTCTGGTAGGTGGGGGAAGAATATGCAGGGAGGTCTGTGCTGAGTGAAGAAATGCCACCTTTTTGACTACTAGCAGCCCTAGTTTCTTGGGGGGGGGCAGCTAAGCCCATAGATGCAACCTCTGGAGGGAACCGTGTTGCTAACCCTGGGCAAAAGGGTAGTTAAGGCTTGCAAGTCGGAATGGAGGAATGAACACTGTGTCCTGGCATAGGAGATCAGAATGCATTAGGGCAGGCCTAGGGATGTGGGAGCTTTAGATTGTTGAAGGGGGTGGGGGAGGGTGGAGTGCCCTCTCTTAGTCCCAGGACTAGTTCTCTGCACAGATTTGTTTGTTCCATTAAATATTCTGTATGTGACCACTGGATAGAACAGACCACTGGATAGATGTTAGAGCATGGTGCTGATAACATCAAGGGCACAGGTTTGATCCTTGTACGGGACAGCTGCATATTCCTGCATTGCAGGGGGCTGGACTAGAAATGACCCTCAGGTTCCCATCCAACGCTGTGATTCTATGTATCCCACCTTTCCTGCAAGGAGCCCAAGGCAAAGTAATAGTTCCCTTCCTCCATTTTGGCCCACAACAACCCTGGAAGGCAGGTCAGACTGGTCCAGGTTCACCCAGCGAGCTGTCCCTGGGCTTCTGGTTTGACTGATCCCTACCTTGCATTGCAGTCCCGTAAACCCACTTGGAACCCGAGGTCCTAATATGCTTAAGAACCCAGCTTGGTGCAGGGGGTTAGAATTCCCTATGAAGACCTGAGAAGTCAAATTCCCTCCCCCGGAGCAGTGACGGCAGAGCTGGCTGGGTGGCCTTGAGGCAGTAGCCTTATCTCAGACTGACGTACCTCACAAGGCTGTAGTGAAGATAAAACGCGTGCGGGGGTTGGTTGGAGAAGCGAGAAATGTCAAGCTAAGGGAAACCTCGGCGGGCTGCCTCTGTGCCTTTAAGGACCCCCCCATTAACATTCTCGGCGCTGCCGCGGTCCCGTGCTCTCATTGGCTACGGCGCGCAGAACGGGGAGGCTGGCGAGCCAGGGATGCGCTCGCCTCCTTCCTTTCCCGTCTAGGGACCGAACGCAGCATCAGCACCGTCCTCAGCATCCTCGCCATCCTACGGCCCGGGTGAAGCCGCCGCTGCCTCGCAGCAGCGCCTGCCTTGGCGCCTGACCTCGCCTGGGGAGGAACGGGGCTTGCTTTGCCTGGGCGACCGATCCACGCAGCAGCGGCAGACGACACGCAAGGGGAGGCTGCCGCTGCCGCTTCAGTAAAACCTCTCCTTTTTATTCCTCCGGCTTGGCAGGGGCTGAAGGGCTGGGCGATGCGGCGATGCCGCCGCGATGATGCGCTGACGACGCTGCGCCTTCGGAACTAACCGGGGTGTGCGCGCTCGCTGCTTGCCCTCCCCCCGCGCCGCGAGGAGGAAGAGGAGGCGGAGGGGAGACGGTGGTGGCGGTGGTGGTGGGGGGCTCTCCCCCCATCCTCCCCATTGTTTCTGGGTTGCTGCGCGTAGGCAGGCTCGGCTGGACGGCGACGCCAAGATGCACAAGCACCACCACTGCTGCCGGTGCCCGGAATGCTACGAGGTGACGAGGATGGCGGCTCTCCGGCGCATGGAGCCCCCCAGCTACGGCGAGTGGCAGCAGCAGGAGCAGCAGTACGCGGGCGGGTATGGGGGCTACGGCTCGCAGACCCTGCCCTCGCAGGCAGGGGGCGCCACCCCCACAGCCCGCGGCAAGGGCAAGCTCATCCCCACCTCCCGCTGCGACAACGCGCCCCCTGCGCCCCCGAAGCAGGGCCCGGCCAAGAGCTGCGGAGGAGGTGGAGGTGGGACCCCCAAGATGAACGGAGGCAGCCCCGGCTGGTGGCCCGAGTGTACCTGCTCGAACCGCGACTGGTATGAACAGGTGGGTGACTTCGGAAGAGGAGAAAAAGGCAGGGCAAGGCGCTAGTCCGGAGAATGGCATCCCTGCCAGGCGGAAGGGGGCTTTTCTTTTGGGCACATGGCTTACCCAAGGCGCCAGGGTTTGTGCTACCCTTACTAGCGTGCCCGGGAGGGCACCCGCACACCCAATCAGCTGCGGGCACCTCTTTGCCCCAGTGCTCCATGTCTATCTCCTTCTTATATAACCCAGCTGAGGCTCTTGCCCTCTTTCCCATCTCCCGGCTCCTTCTCCAAGGACCTGGAAGACACCCCCTCCCTTATTTGCCTCCTGCACCGGCAGCCACCCCCACCCCGCGCACACCCCAGCCAGCTGAGAAAATGGATGGAGCCCGCATGCTTTGCGAGGCAATAAAATGGAGGCTGGGTTTGTCCACCACCTTTCCTGAGCCTGCCACGTTCTCCCGGCTGTCATCACCACCTCCCACTCGAGGTCGTCTGGCTTCTGCCAGCCTCTGAGCGGGGGTCAGAATGTGCCAGGGCGGGTGAGCAGGTGGGCCAGGCAGATGCACTCCGATGACCCATCCGCCCCCGCTGTATTCTTCATCCCAAACCCACGCATCCACCTTGGCAACGGAGACCCCTGCTTTGCCTAATCCCATTTCTCCATGTTTTCTCCTGGCGTTTGTACCCTCAATGTGCCCCATTGCCATAGGTCTAAGTGCCTGGAGGACCACACTGGAGGAATGTGGTGTGTGTGTGTGTGTGTGTGTCGGGGGGTGCCTTCTGCCTCTCCCTCTCCCGTTTGGCTGTCAGATGGATTTCAGGAAGTGCAAGCATCCCTCCCAAGATGGCAGTGATAAGATGCGCGCGGGTGGGGTGGGGGGGATAGAGAGAGAATGAGAACAGCTCTTCTGCTGATATTGCTGTCCAACCGAGCAGTGCTGGTCAAAGAACGCTGCCAGGAAAGAAAGAAAGAAAGAAAGAGAGAAAGAAAGAAAGAAAGAGCCAGATCTGATTGCCTAAAGAAACGTACCCCCCCCCCCCAGCCATCCATCAGGCAGAGCGAGGGCTGGCCCTGGTCGTGCACGCTGCATGCACAGTACGCGACGCGAGGATGTGCGCTGCGCCTGAGCATGTGCTGGACCGGAGCAGGCAGAATTGCTCACTGGGGTGTAGTGCGTGTAGGCAGTGCGCTCTGCTAAGCTGCCTCAGACAAGGAAGGAGCGAGCGCCAAGCATCTCTCTCCCTCTTTCTCCTCCTCTGCCGCGCCAGGCTGACAGTCAGTGGGGAGCAGAGCCCGGGGGCGGCTGCTGGTTGGTATTACCTGTAATTGCTTGCCAAGCATCAGAGAGAGAGAGAGAGAGAGAGAGAGAGAGAATGTGCGCGCGTGTTTGGGGAAGGGGTGTCGCTCCCTCTTAGGCAAAAAGGGAAGGTGGAGCTTTGCCCCTCACTGCCCCCTTTCTGCCACACGTGCTCAGAAGCGTGTGTGTGTGTGCGCGCGCGCAGGCGTGCATGCGCGGGCAGAAGGCTATTTCCAGGCTATGATGATGGTGGTGATGATGATGATATGTGCTTGCCCTCCGCCTGCTGGGAGCCTCAGACACAGAGCCAGAACCTCCACAAGTTCCTTTCTGCCCCGCTCAAAAGTCAAGCGTATGCGATGCTCCCAAACACCACCTCCTCCTCCTCTGCAGCTATGCAGCCTCCCCACCCGCTCTCAGACAACACCCCTCTGAGCACCGACTCCCCTCATCGACCCGGTTATCACACAGGGCTCTCCTTTTCTGGCCTGTAGTTTGCAGAGGAGCAGCAGAGGCATGTGAGCGAAATCTCTCGCATATGCGAGCTCTGAAAGCGCAGCGTGGCGGTTCTGAGGCCTACCTCTCGGGCGGCTCCTGTGCCCACTGGAGTTGATGTCAGCAAGCCTTATTCATCTATCAACCCTGTAATGTGGGGTCGGGCAGCTAGGCAGGGAAGAAGAGGTCTTTCATCTTCTGCAGTGTTACTTTTAAACATGCCCTCCCTTCTCTATCCGTAGGAAAATTCCCTCCCCTCCCTTATCCTTAGGGAAATTCTGCAGTCGGGCATGCCAGGTTCTGCAAGCAGAATTAAGTTACGTAAAAAGCTGCCTTATGCGGAGTTAGACCATTAGTTCATCCAGTTCAGGATTGTCTACTCTGACTGGCAGTGACTCTCCAAGGTTTCAGGCTGGGGACATAAGAAGCACTACCTGGAGACTGAGGATTGGACCCTGGGGGGGGGGGGCATTCTGCAAGCAGAGCAGATGCTCTACCACTGAGCTATTTACAGAAGTGATTCCAATGGGAAGAGAGCATGGCCTTATCACAGAGCTGTCACCACTGCACTTTCAGCCCCATCCAGCTCTGTGGGAGGAGGGGGGCAGGTTGCTGCTGCTAGGGAGTGGACAGGCACTTTGCCACTGTTGGCAAGCCAACCTGGAGGGGGGCACAGGTGATGTGACAGAAAGGGGAAGCAGACCCAAAAGAAAGGTGCTTGTGTGTGCGCATCTATGTTTGTCCTGGAATGTATGCGAGTCCAAGGCATTTGTAATGGCTTAATTAGGTATCTGTGCTTGATATCAATTAGCTCGCACCCCCCCCCCATTAATGTGTGTGCATAGGTTTGTGCATTGGGTCCTAAATATGGGGCAACCAGAGAAGGTTGGCAGTGAATGACAACTGTTAGGATCCCTGCCTGCTGCTTGGATCCCAGGAGGTGGGGTGGGGTGTCAGAGCACCAGGTGGAGATGGAACTGCTTTTGCCTCCCACCTCCTCCAACGTGGGTCTCTTTCTGAAATGCTGCTTTCAGCCAGAAGATGTTGGCCCAGAAGTTCTGACATTTTTACCCACCTAAGGAGACAACTCAAATATGTTCATGATGCTACAGTATATTGTACCTCCATCCTCAGAAGCAGTATACCTTATGAATACCATTTTCCCGGGGAGCAACAGCAGTAGAAAGCTATTGCCCTACTTGTGGGCTTCCCACCCTTAGGCACCTTTATAGGGACAAGTCCCTCTTGCTCAGCCCTTTAACACCTAAGGTGCATATTTTTAGAATTCCATCTTATTCTTGTGATTGTTCTGAATGATTTTTAATGTTGCATTTTAAATCATTGTCACCCATCTCGGTTAGCTCAGTTGGTTAGATCGTTGTGCTGATAACGCCAAGGTCACAGGTTTGAGCCCCGTGTGGGTGCATATTCCTGCAATGCAGTGGATTGGACTAGATGATCCACGGGGCCCCTTCCAACTCTATGATTCACACCATTTATTCTCGTGATTGCAATTTGTTTTGAATGATTTTCAATGTTGCATTTTAAATTGTTGTGACCCGCCATGGGAATTTGGGGTGAAGGGTGGGTAAATAATGGTGATGGTGATGATGACGATGGCAGCTTTGTCTACAATGATTGACACCAGTTCTACCTGGAGGTTGAACCTGGGACCTTCTGCATGCAAAGCAGGTGCTCTGTCACTGAGCTAGGACTCTTCTCCTGAAAAACAAAGCAAGATTCCACTCTGCATGGTTCTGAAAAAAGGGTTGATTTAAACAGGGGCATAGGAAGCTGCTACTGAGCCAGACCCTTGATCCATCTAGCTCCATATTGTCTACACGGACTGGCAGTGGCTCTCCAGGGTTTCAGGCAAGGGTTTCCTTTCAGCCCTACCTGGAAATGCCAGGGCTTGAAACTGGGACCTTCTGCATGAAAAGCAGGTGCTCTGACACTATGTTGGTCTGGATTGGTCTAATCTAGTGGGGCTCTTCTTATGGTGGAAGTTAGACTATGCCTGCGCTAATTGTAACACACACTGATTTTTTTCTACCGTGGATGAAATAGTCTCATGTCCTTGTATCAAAACCAGGCAGCCAAAATGTGAAAAAGCTGAATTGGCTAGTAGCTGATCCTTAAGACTCTGGAGGGGGCAGACCTTGACCTCGACTTGTGGACATGGAGCATAGAACACTGCCTTAAACTGAATCAAGCCATACCTAGCCCAGTGTTTTCTACACTGACTGGCAGCAACTCTCCAGGGTTTCAGACAGGCAAGATTTCCAGAAGGGACACCAGGAGCCTTGAAGATGCCCATCAACAACTAGCATCTAAACAGGAGACCTGGTTGCAGTTCTCCCCATTGTGACAAGGCACATTTATTTATTTTGGGGGTTTTTATGAATTTGCATCTATGTATAGAGGAGATACATAGGAAGCTGTCCTATACAGACCCAGACTGTCGGCCCAGCCAGCTCAGCATTCTCTATGCTAGACTGGCAGTAGCTCTCCAAAGTTTCAAGCAAGGGATATTCCCAGCTCTGACTGGAGAGGCTGGGGATTGAACCTGGGGCCTTCTGCATACCAAGCAGGTGCTCTGCTGCTGAGCTATGGCCCAGGGCATCTGAGAGGAACATAGGGAAGCTGCCTTGTGCTGTCAGACATTTGGTCCTCCTAGACCAGCTATTGTCTATGCTTGATTGGCAGTAGCTCTCCGGGGTTTTTTTTGGGGGGGGGGGGGAAGGAACATCCCAGCCCAACCTGGGGATGCCAAGAAATTAACCTGGGATTTTCTGCATGCAGAGCAAATGCTCTGCCACTGAGCAGCAGCCCTCCGTGTGTGTGTGTGTGTGTGTGTGTGTGTGTGTGTGTGTGTGTGTGTGTAGGCAATATCTAGGTTATAAAGTTTGCTTTCCCAGGAGTGGGTGGGTGGGGTGGGGTGGAGAAGAGCTGTCCCCCCCATTCTTCTGGTTCCAGTTGTTTAGCTGGTGCTCCAGCTGCGAAGTTCTTCAGGAGCAAGAGAGAAAAGAGAGCCTTGGGTTGGAGATGTCTCAAGACACCTGAAAGCGACCGGCCTCCGAGGTTGCCTGAGGCAAAAGGAGTGGGTGGCGAAGTTAGGAATGTGACTTCAAAAAAGAAAAGAAAATTGGGGCGGGTGGAGGCGGCATTGGGGGATAGGAGAGGTGGCAAGGGGGTTCCTGGGGTATTAGAGACGGATGCGCCGGGGGAGGGCAGCAATGGGCAGCCAAGGGCGGCAGAGCTCATTTCCATAGGAAGGTAACTGTGGGGAGGTGGGCGGGGTGGGAGAATGTGAAATTATGGGGACGGAGAAGCGCTGGAGGTGGGGAGGTTGGCAGGGGGAGGTTGCTATGGCTACTCCTGTTCTATTCGGGAGAGGAATTGAGTTTCATCCTGGCTCTGGGAGGCGGAGGCGGAGGAGGGAAGGGAGTTCTCAGAGGAGGATGTGGGAAGGAGGGAGCGCGGGGCGGGAAGGCGAATGGAGAAAGCAGCAGAGACTGGAGATGGCGAGAGGTGGTGGGAGGAAGCCCGAGTTTCCCGGCTGGCGTGAGCGAAAGCCACGCGTTGGGCAGGGAGCGGTGCGGGACGCCAGGCTGCTTTGGCGGCGGCACGGCGCGGGGGCAGGGGCAGGGGGAAGGGGGCGGAGCAAGAAGCCCCGCAGCAGCCTGGGCGGAGTGGGAGCGAGACCTCTTTCTCTGGTGCTGTCCAGCTTGCCTTGTGCCAGGCAGGGCGTCTGCCACGATGAGTTGGTTCTGGCAGTCACCGTGACGGAGGGTGGAAAAGCCCCCACAGCCTCTCCCGGCAAGCTATTTTTAGCGATGGTGGTTCGTTGAGCAGTGACAAAGGAATGTCGGCCCTGGGCCGCCCCTCCTCGCAGGCTTTTAAGCGCGCGTGTTGTGTCATCTTCGAACTCCTGATCGTGCCCCGGCCACGGGCCCCTTGCTGTCTAGGTCGTCTGCTTTGCTCCCCATAAGAGGCAGCGGTGGTCACCAGCTTGGATGACTTTTGGAGAAGGGGAGAGGATTGCCACCAATCTGGGCTTCTGTGTTCTCCTTTCAGGGGTGGAGGCAGAAAATGCTTCTGAATACCAGTTGCTCGAAACCCCAAAAGAAGAGAGTGCTCTTGCTCTCAGGCCCTGTTTGCAGGTTTCTTCTCCCTGGCATCAGAGGTGTATTGGCAAGCTATGGGGCACTTCCTACCTGTAGGGTGCCACTGCACAGTTACTTGTGCTAAGTCGGCAGGGCATAGGAGGAGTATTTGGGGGGGGGGGGGTTCAAGTGCTTCTTGCAGCCTTTGCACCCCCTGCTTCAACCATTCTCTTCTCTACCTGAGACAGAGATGGCAAATGTCTGTAGCTCTCCACGTGTTCCTGGAGATGAACTACCATAAGTCCCATAAGCAAGAATGGCCAAGGGTCAGGAAGGAAAGTGGAAATCCAGCAGCTTCTGGAGAGATACAGGTTTCCTAGCCGGGCTAAGAGCCTGTTCCCTAGCAGACACAGAGTGAACGGACAGTCCCCACCTGCCTAACAGCAGCAGGTGTGGCTCTGTAGCTCCACCTTTTCTCTCCATGACACACCTGCTGTTCCATTTCTGTGATCACATAAAATATAACTTGCCCAGATTCTTACATGGGCAAGTTCTCACTACACCCCTCCCCTGAATCCTCACTTTAGCCCGTTCCAGCCTTAGCTGTGGGAATTGACCAAGGCCAGCCCAGTCATCACCATCATCATCTTCATGAACATCAATAATAATGTCTGCCCTTGTTTTGTGGAATAGTAGAGTGCTCTTGTGTTCAGGTCCAGCTTGTGGGCTTCCCACAGACATCTGGTTGGCCACTGTAAGATGATGCTAGGCCAGGGGTCAGCAACCTTTTTCAGTCGTGGGCCGGTCCACTGTCCGTCAGACCATGTTGTGAACCGGACTATATTGGGGGGGGGGCGTGAACGAATTCCTATGCCCCACAAATAACCCAGAGATGCATTTTAAATAAAAACTCACATTCCACTCATGTAAAAACATGCTGATTCCCGGACCATCTGCAGGCCAGATTGAGAAGGCTATTGGGCCGCATCCAGCCCCTGGGCCTTAGTTTGGCTACCCCTGTGCTAGACTGAAAACAACTACTAAACTGATCCAGCAGGCTCTTATCTTTTAAACATGAAACAACCAAAGATGTATTTGTTTCAGTGGGATTTCCCATCTGGATGAATGGGTCTCTGCCATGGGTCTCTCTTTTGTTTCCGTCTTGTTTTGCTTTTAAAGGTACCTGTCGGTTTTGAACTCATAAAATCATTAATCGCTTTCTACACAACCGTCTTAAGATGTACAGTAAATGCAGCAAAAAGAGAGAGTTTAAAACACTAAAAAAGCAGATGCTGTTCATATTGTTATTTCATTCATGAATCACTTCCCATGAGAGCTCTCATAGCGATTTGCAGTATAATGACATAGATAAAACAGTCATCGATAAAAACAGTTAAAGCAATTACTTGCATAATAGCAATTTTTAAAAAATTTAAAACAACAACAGGACATACAGACGTAAAATCAATTTGAACTCAAAGCAGATGCTGGCAACTAGGATAAAGATTTTTGAAGGCTTGTTGAAAGACAGGCATCTTTAGCCAAAAAGACAAAAGAGATGGTGGCGCCTGTCTAACATGCAGCAGCAGGGAGTTCCAAAAGGTATGTGTCACCACCCTAAAGACCTGATTCTGACACTGTGCAAAATTTATTTCCTTTTTAAAAAAATATTTTTTATTAAATTTTCAAATTGTAACAACAAATTTTCCACAAATCTTAATTGAACATATTTCTCCCCTCCCCCCTCTTTGGCTTCCCCTGTATTTCCATATTGATTTATTAAACAAATTCTACACCCTGCTGGTTTTACCTCTTATATAGTTGTGAAAGTTTAGTCAAAACCTCCCAATGAGTCCAAATCTTTATACTGTCTTTTTATATAGTTTAGAAATGGTTCCGACTCCTTTTTGAAATCGATGTTGTCTCTCTCATGTACCGTGTCCGCTCTGTCAGCTTAGCCAATTCCTCGTAGTCCATAAGCTTGGCTTGCCATTCTTCCTTTGTTGGCATTTTCTCTGTTTTCCATACTTGTGCTAGTAAAATTCTTGCTGCATTGTCCTATATCATGATCTAAAATTCCAAGCAGGAAAGAGTCTGGTTTTTGAACAAAGGTTTTTTTTAAACATTTTTTTTATTCTTTATTCTTTATTCAATATTCTATAACCTTCTTGCATTCCCACCATACATGAAAAAAATACCATCTTTCTTTTTGCATCTCCAACATATCTTAGATCCTGTTTTGTACATTTTTGCAATTTTTTCCGGTGTGATATACCATCTATATATCATTTTCAAATAATTTTCTCTTAATAATATACAATCTGTAAACTTTAAATTTGTTTTCCATAATCTTTCCCATTCCTCCAACTGTGTATTATGCCCAACATCCTGAGCTCATTTTACCCAATTTTACCGTCTCATCTAAAATCTCTCCATATAGCAAAATATTATATGCTTTCTTCAATAACTTGGTGTTTCCCTCCACAATTTCCTTTTGGAAGTTTGAAATAGTATAACTAAACCCTCTTTTGTTATCTTCTTAAAACTGCTCATTAATTTGTCTGTGATGCAACCAACTTTGTAAAGTATCTTTCAAGTTTTCATAACTTTTTAATTTCAAACCTTTCTCTTCTTCTACTAACAAATCTCTATGTGTTGGCCATATCTTACTCGGACGAAGCCCCAGGTGTTGCCATTTCCTCCGCGAAGCAGACCAGAAGCCTCCAAAATTGATTTCCTAATGGGATGCTATCTTCCGGCTGCCGTCTCCTGAAAGAGCCATTAAGCAACTGCCTCAAGCAGCAGATGTTGGGGAGGTGGCACAAGGTGTTTGGGGACAGAGCTGTTTGTACCTAGACCCCCTCCCCAAAGCTTACACGCTGCTTTCAGGTACAGTGGAGGATGCTGCCCCATCATCACCATTGCTGAACAAAGGCTCAGCTGCAAGCATCCTGTATGTGGAAGGAGACAGGGTGCCGTAGTTATCACACACACACACACAAAATTGATTTTAAGGTTAGCATTGATAGAATAATAAAAGAAAACCAAATACTAATTAACCAAACATAATTAAAAAATAAATAAATGGTGAGGAGCAGAAGGGGATAGAACAGGTCAGAACAATACATTTTGCAGAGAATTAAACTGAGATTAATTAATTATAAGGAGACACTTATTATGCCAGAATTGGATAAAGAGGGTCCAGGACTTCTTCTTTTCCAGCTGGAACTCACCGGAGCTCAGCTCCAGCACCTCTCGGGTAGGCGGCATTGCCATTCTAAGAGAACAAGGGAAAAGATCATGGTGAGCTCCAGCATCTATTTTTCTAGAAAATAGCACTGACAGGGTCTATTATTTCAGTAAAGCTATTGTACATAGTTTTGTTGTTTTATGTCTGCTTTATCCCACACTCGAAGGATTTTCGCTTTTCTAGAACTGGTCGAGATATATATATATATATATATATATATATCAGATGTCAATGAAGTCTCTGTCAGTTGAAGATCGGCTTTTATTACTTCAGGCCAGAGCATTCCAACATTAATTGTTTCAGAACTCTTGGGCAGGACTGCATCTTGCCTTTTGCTTCAGACAGCAAAACGTCTTGGGCCATCTCTGGATCCAATGCTCTAGAAACAGACACACCTTGGAATGAGGCAAGTCCCTTCCATGGACTGTCAAAAACCCACTGGCAGTGTTGCTACGGCTCATATCACCCAGGTTCCTCTTCCTCTCCGTGGGCCATAGCCGCCTCATCCTTGGAGAGCGTCTTGCAGGAGGTAGTGATGGCCAGCAGTTTGGGTAGCTTTAAAAGAGAATTAGACAAATTCATGCAGGTGAAGGAGGAGGCTATGACAGGTACTAAACACAATGGCTATTTCTGCCACCACTGTCAGAGGCATTATGCCTGTGAACACCAGTTGCTAGGAATCACATCTGGGAAGAACTTTGCTGCACTCCGGTCCTGCTTGTGAGCTTCCCATTGGCACCTGCTGGACAGTGTTCATTTGGTCTGGCAGATCTCTTCTTATTGACAGCTCTTCAAAACCTCAATAAACAGGCTTCAGAATATCTGGACAGGGTTGGGGCTTTGAAAAGATATGGGTTTTTTATTTTTTTAAAAAATCACACTTGTGGTGTGTTCTATAAAAGTTTACGTTGCAATTGTAATATTCACCAGATCCACAAGAGGCAGAGCAATAGCAAATTGTTGATTTTTAACAGCTGAGGGGGGAATTGAGACTGTTATCTGAGTTGGTGTCATGGGCTGGTTGGATGCAAAGGAATAGTGGGAGGAACCAGCTGGGGAACAACAAAAGCAAGAAGGCTCAGAGCCCAGGGAGTGGCGGTGGGAAGAAAATAAGTGGTAAGAGGAAGAAGAGAGGGAAGAGGAGGTGTTGGAAGCTGAAGAGGTTACAGGTTTTAGTGAGCAGGGAGAGTCTGTGCCAGAGAGAAGTCCAGAAACAGAGGCAGAAGTGGAGGCTGAAGAGGAGGGGGACCAAGAAGCAGAGATGAGTTAAGCTGGTGAAGAGACACAGGTGTCTCCCCCTCCTGCGATGATGAGCTCCATCTTGTTTTCCAGAACCAGAAGAGACAGGAAAAGAGTGGAGGGAGAGGTTGGCTTCACGCACACAGGTGCCATTTCTGATTGCTTAGGGAAAGCCCTGAAGAGGAGAGGATTTAGACAGCTGGGAAGGATTTAGGAAGCAGGGACTTTCAGTCTCAGCAACTGATTTTCCTAGAGGAAGATCACCAGGAATGAGCTGCTCTGCTCATTAACTAAGTATGTGGAGATCATGTTTTTGCTAATAAAGAGCTATCTCCATCTTTGAACTGTGTGATTACTGACCAGCACTCTCTTGTGACAGTTGGTAACCTAAGGGAAGTTGATTGTGTCAGGGCAGGACTGAACCCAGATCTTCAATTTCCAAAACTATGTCCATCCACAGACCTCACTATACAAGTGTCACACAACGTTTGTTCTGCACTAGCAAAGATTGATCCTTCTCTCTGGAACTCCCTGCCTGTTGATATTAGGCAGGTACCTTTACCATGTGTTTCTCAGTGCAAACTCATTAGTTAACTCAGCCTTTGCCAATCTGTTGCCCTCTGATCTTTTTGGCTGCAGCTCCCATAGCCCCCAACAAGTGCTGTCTTGATGAAGTCTGATAAATAATGTATTTGTGTAGGCTGTTCTGCAATCTTTGCTACAATTACTGGTCAATAGTCCTGTTTTTCTGGGTAAAATGCTTTTCACTGAGAGTGTCTGTCATTATAGCTACTTCTTTATTGTTTTGATGGTTGTTTTGATGTTGGAATTTTGAACTAGGTGAATGTTTCTGAACCCAAAATAGGCATTGGTCACAGGCAGAGTGTTCCTTGACCTTCCTTCCTGCATTTGCTTTCCCAGAAACATGCCTTGGTTTCCAGGTGGCACAATTAGGCACTTTGGCGTGGGTGAGAGCAGTAAATGGAGCATTCTAGGAACCCCTGAGAGACCAGCTGGTTATCTGACATATCCCTTTGGAGTTGACCCTGGCTTTCTCTTTTATTTTTCTGCTGAGGCTCTGTAGTTCTTTTTCCTCCATGCATGGTTTTTGAAAGCTGCCATAGAGCACAGCATAATACATTTTATTCCTTTTAGTGCTTTTGGAGGTCATGTGTTCCCAGTACTATTTCCATTCTCAGAATCTTCTTCGGTATCTCTATATCCTGGTAAAAACACAGTGCCCTCCACCCTCAGCACCCTAACCAGCAATTAGTCTGCCGTGCATCTTCTTGAATCTTGCTTGTGCTAATGCCCATTTTTTTTCATTTTCATGTTTATCCCACTCTTCTTCCAACAAACTCAGGACTGTATGTACTGGGGTGTGGGGCCAGCTCTCCCATCATTGCCCAGCCAGCATGGCCACTGGTCAAGAATGATGGGAGTTTTAGGCAGCAAACGCACCATGCATTTTAAGCGCGCACCCACCCACCCACCCTGGAAAACTGTAATTTGTTAAGGGTTATGGGAATTGTAGCTCTGTGAAGGGTAAACTACAGTTCCCAGGATTCTTTGTGAAAATGTGTGTTAAATGTATCATGTGTGCACATCTGGAGTCCAGCAATATATGGAGGGCAACTGGCTCTCCACCTGTGGTATTTATGGTTTCTCCTCTGCCCCCATTTTATTCTTACAACAACCCTGTTAGGTAGGGTAATCTGAGAGTGTGTGACTGGCCCAAGATCATGCAGTAGCTTTGTGGCCGAGTGGGAGTTCGAACCTGAGTTTCTCTTATGACAAATTTTAGTTGTTTGGTTTGGCATTTGTACTCCACCCCTCTGTAAAATACCCAAGGCGGCATACAACCCTGAGCAAAATGACACACCACAATGGCTTCCCGTTTATGACTCACTTCATGAGGTTTGCTTTTAAATGCTATCAGTAGGGCTGTGTTTCTACTTATGAAATCATCACATGCTTCTCAGGCATGGTAAGAATCTTCCTCGGTTAATTGTATCTTCTGTGGGTATTCCCGCCCCCCAACATGTAAATCTCCACCCATAATGAATTTCACTGTATTACAGGAGTGGGGAACCTGTGGTCCTCCAGTCATTGGACTACAACTCCCATCACCCCTGTTCATTGGCTGTGAGGGGTGAGGGCTGGGGGCTGATGGGAGTTTGGAGTCCAGCAACATCTGGAGCTCACCAGGAGCTCTATCTTTGCTGTACCATTTTGTACACTTGGCAGCATTCTCAGGGAGCTGTATGGTTCCTAGCTGGGATGGTTTAGTCGGTCAAGCATGAGGCTCTTAATCTCAGGGTTGTGGGTTTAAGCCCCACATTGGGCAAAAGATTCCTGCATTGCGATACCCTCCAATATTTTTTTGATGAAAATAAGGACGCCCTATTCCATAACAACAACAATAATATTTATACCCCACCCATCTCACTGGGTTGTCCCAGCCACTCTGGGCAGCTTCCAACATATTTAAAAACATAAGAAAACATTAAACATTAAAAAACTTCCCGCTTTCAGATGGCTTGGGGGTCCAATAATTCCATACCCTCCAACATCTCTCCTTAGGGACGTCCTAAGGAAAAGCGGGACATTCTGGGATCAAATCAGAAACTGGGACAGCTTCTGTAGATCCAGGACTGTCCCTGGAAAACAGGGACACTTGGAGGGTATGTATTGCAGGGGGTTGGACTAGATGATCCTTATGGTCCCTTCCAACTCTACAATTCTATGATTCTCTTCTATGTGCCACATCAGGGGTGGGGGGACATTTTTCATCCCGAGGGCTGCATTTCCTCCTTGTCAATCTTCTGAGGGCCATTTGTCTGTAGTAGGGAGGGCCAGAATCAAAAGTGGGAGGAGCAATGAATGCTTATTTCACCTTTGCGCATTAGTCTTGCATCTCAAAGCAATATCAGAGATGGAGGCCACATTCTAGCCAAGGGAAAATGCTCTGGGTGCAAACCAGGACCTGTGAAGGGTGTGGTCTGAGGAGAGTTCCAAGATCAGATAAAGAGATATGAGGGGCTGCATTTTGCCCCGGGGTCTTAGGTACCTGCCCCCTATGCTGCTTTCCCTCAAGTGCCCCAGGCTGCGAAGGGTCATTCCAAAACCTTAATCCTATTCTTTCGTTTAGATAGTGTTCCCCACCCTGCCCCCATTTCCCAGGTTCAGTGTCATTTGCAGTTCCATGTTTTCATGGCTCCATCCCCTTTTGTTAAAACTGGCCTTGATACAGACCCAGCCATCTTTTCCTATTACAATAAGGATATTCATGGCCACTTTCTAGCCTAATCCAGTAAACCCTACTGAATCCCAGAGAGATGTGCTTCCAAGTAAGCAAGCTTAGGATAGTAGAGCTGCTGCCTTTACTTTTCTCCCTGCACACACGCACACACACACACACACACACACACACACAGAAGAAAACAGTGTGGAACCGTGACAGGATCTTAAAGAGCAGACTTGCTGGATCAGGCCAGCGTCCATCTGTCCAGTGTCCTACAGCCAGATGCCTCTGGAAACTCCCCAGCAGGGTAAAGAGGTGATGGCCTTCTCTTCCTTGCTGCCAGCATTTGGCAGTCAGGGCTACAATTGCTTCTCAGCATGAAGCTTCTGCTTGTTCCACTATTGTGGAGCCTCTGCCCTCTGCTGCTGTCCTGCCAGATTCACCTTTGATCATTCCTTGGCTCCCCCCCCATACCTTTGCTCAACTCCCCCAGTCTGCTGTTGGTGTGACACAACTCTTCTTTGTGCAACTGGGGCTGTAACCGTGTTTCTGTTTCTGCCTCCTGGCTTTGGACGTCAGGTGACAGCAGAGAACCAGTCTGGTGCATCTTACTGATATATAAACAGACCCTCAGCCTTTGGTCTGTCACCTTTCTCATATATATCTCCCCTCTCCCCACCTTCTGAAGGGAGCCAGTGTGAGGCAGTGGTTATAGTGTTGGACTTGGACCAGGGTGGACTGGGTTCCAATCCCCTCCATGAACCATGAAGCTCACAGGTGACCTTGCACCATTCATTGTTTGACAACCCAAAAAATTGTCTCATACCTTTATCACTGTGCTCTGCAGGAGATGGTGTCCTGCAGATACCAGCTTATCAGGAGGTCCATTCCTTGCAGTATATGAATTGAACTTTTCATGTAACTTCATCCACATTTTGGAACTGCCTCCATTGCTTTTTCAAAGTCTGTTTAAGATGTCCCCCTTTCAACAAGTCTTCCAAGTGGTGCTTGCTATTGTGGCAGTTACCTCAATTAGTATCTGTCTTGGATTTGAAATTGTTTTTATATGGGTCGCTCTTTTAACTCTGTGGGTGGGTGGGGGTGGGAGTATAATGGTTTTTAGATGCGCTATTGAACTGATTTTATGTACGTACGTATGCATTTGCTTCATAAAAATTATATGCAAACGAAACAACAACAACCTTGAAACATACAAGTTTAAAATACTAAAACAGATTAAAATTCACACCAGCTTTTCTGGGTAGGCTTGACTAAACTTGGTTTTCCCCAGGAAGAAGGAAAGAATACAGTGAAGGCACCTGCTTGGTCTCAAGAGGGCGGGAGTTCCAATGTGCAGGTGCTGCCACGCCAAACAACTACCGTATTTTTCACTCTATAGGACGCACCTGACCATAGGACGCACCTTGTTTTAGAGGGGGAGAACAAGAAGCCCCCCCTCTCTGCTCTGCACCCCTTCAGCGAAGCGGCAGGAGAAACAGAGCCCCTTCCATTTCTCCTCCTGCTTCGCTGATGGGGCGCTGCACAGCTCTCCCTCTCTGCTGAAGCCAGGAGAGTCTTGCTCTCCCAGCTTCAGCAAAAGGAACCCAAAGCCTTTGGAGCGCAGCACGAGTTCCCGCTGCGCTCCAAAGGCTTCAGGCGGCTATCCCTGAAGCCTGGAGAGCGAGAGGGGTCGGTGTGCACCAACCCCTCTCGCTCTCCAGGCTTCAGCAAAAGCAACGCGAAGCCTCCGGAGTGCAGGGGGAGTGCTCCCTCTGCAGTTCGGAGGCTTCATGTTGCTATCGCTGAAGCCAAGGAGCCTGCATTCGCTCCATAGGACACGCACACATTTCCCCTTAAGTTTTGGAGGGGGAAAAGTGCGTCCTATAGAGCGAAAAATACGGTAAGTTCCTGCAAATGCAGAATGGGCTTTATGTAGCACTTGAAGGTAGTGGCAACTCCGCTGACTGAAACCATTGAGTGGGTATGTGTGAGTCAAGGCGATCTTGTAGGTAAACTGGTCCCAAGATGTTAAGGACTTAAAATACTAACAGTAATACCTTGAACTTGGCCCAGTAGCAAAACGGCAACCAGTGCAGATCCCTGAGCACAGGTGACAAGGCCTGACTTCTGCCAGCAATCATGCTGCAGCATTCTGCACTAACTCCAGCTTCTGGATCAAGCATGAGGAAAGCTCCATGTAGAATGCATTGCAGTAATCTAGTCTTGAGGTAACTAATGCATGAAGTACTGTGGCAAGGCTATTCTGTTGTAGGTATGTTCGTGGCTGTCAAACCCGCTGTAGTTGGTAAAAGGCAGTATTGTGGTACCTCTGGATGCGAACGGGATCTGTTCCGGAGCCCCATTCGCATCCTGAGCAGAATGTGACCCACATCTGCGTCTTTAACCCAAGATATGACTGTACTAGCCATTGATGCTACCTGAGCCCCCAGTGACTGAGCTGGATCCAGAAGTGCCCCAAACTACAAGCCTGTTCTCTCAGGGGCAGAGCAACCTCATCCAGGGTGGATAATTGATCAGTTTCTCAGACAGAGGAGCTACTCATCCCACAGTGCCTCCACCTTGCCAGGATCCAAGCTCAGCTTGTTTTTCTTCATCCATTTCCCCATTGTATCCAGGCTGCATGGCCCATCCTGATTCAGTTGTTATGGAGAAATAGAGCTGAGTGCCATCTGCATTTCCCCCAAGCCCCTAATGATTGCTCACAACAGATATTAAATAGCACTGGAGTTAAGATAGCCTCCTGTGGCACCCCATAGCATAGCCACCAGGGGGCAGAAAGCCACTCTCCCAACACTGTATGATTGGAATCTCTGTAGTACGGTGCCCCCAAGTTCTCATTCCCTGGAACTGGTCCAGGAGAATACCATGGTTGATGGTATCAAATGCCGACGAGAGATCAAGAAGCAGGAACAAGGTCACACTCCCATGTCCCACTCTCTGCAAAGGTCATCCATCAAGGCGACCAAGGTGGACTTAGTTCTGAACCCAGATTGGAATGGCTCTAAATAATCTGTGTCCTCCAAGAATGTATGCAATTGCTTTACATACGGCTTTATTGTGTTTTAAAAGTGTTTTAAGTTGCTGCAATTCATACATGAAATAAACCATGGCAATAGCAATTACCTAACCAACATCTTAGGGATGTTGTAAGGATAAATTGGAGTTGAGGGTAGGGGTGCAGCTGTACACACCACCCTTGAGCTCCTTGAAGGAAAGTCAGGATACAAATATAGTAAATAAATAATTTAGGTGGGTGGGTTGTGACTCGACAGAGCCTTTTTGGTTATGGCATCATATCTTTGGAAAGCTCTCCCAGGGAGACCTGCCTAGCATGTACTCTGATGCTTTTTAAGGCATCTGGACCTTTTAAAAATCTGGTCTTATCCTAACTCTAGTTTTAATGCTGGATACCCACTTCTCTTCTTGTTATATCTGGTTCCATGTTTCTTTCTGTTCCTGTTTTTTTTCCTTCCTTTTTTACATTTGCCACCTGGGAAACATAGGAAGCTACCTTATGGCAGGTCAGCTTATTTGTCCATCTGCAACTTATATTATTGCCATTGTCATCTTAAATCTGGAAATGGTGGGGATTGAACCTGGGACCTTCTGCATTCCAAGCAAGGGTTCTGTCACAAAGCAATGGTCCTTGAAGTTTCTTTGAGAAAGAAAGGTGGTTATGCAATGTGTCAATTAAAGAAATAAACTAAGGTCCTCCCTCTGTGCCATCAGACCAGTGTCCCCCAATATGCTTAATGGTCTCTCAGTGGCCAGCTTCCAATTCACCAGCCCAACACAGGCCAACTGTTCAGAGATGCTGGGGACAGATGGCTTGGCCACATTGCTTATTGCTTCCCCTTCCTGATTCCTCTGCTTATCCTTCCCCTATTGTGTTTTTCTTGCCCCTTCTCTCATGGCCCGTTGCCCCCTGAAGCATTCCTCCCCATTTTTTATGTGAGCTCAAGAATCCCCTAGAAGCTTTCCCCAGTCTGCAACTTCTTCACAGCCGCACCAGGGACAATCTGCCCATTCGGCTGGAAACCAGGCTGGGATGGGGAGCTCTTCAGGGTCCTGAGTGCTGCCTT